ATAAAATTATAGTCATTTTCAATGTAGACAATCACAAGAGGTTATACTGAACTCATTCTCAACTAGCAACAAATTTCAGTTTTTAAAAGTACTCTCCAAAAAATAATAATAACAAAAGTACTCTTCATCCCCTAGCCCAAGGTTCGAAAATTATTTAGTCTAGACAAATGTAAAGCTAGGTGTGGTGGCGCAACCCTGTACTTCCAGCACTTGGGAGGCTGAGGCAGGAAGAGCTCTGCAAATTGGAGGCCAGCCTAGACTACATAGTGAATTCCAGGCCAGCCTGAACTACGTAGTGAGACCCTGTCTCAAAAAGAGTAAAAAGAAGCCCTAAAGTCACTTATGTTAACAATCAATTAGGAATAGAACAATGGTGAGTTTTCTTTTTTCTTCTTACCTTGTTCAAACTAAAAGATTTTTGCAGGGCTGGGGACTGATTGAACCTAGAGCCCTCACACTGAACCACAGCCCCAGCTTTTTTTTTTTTTTTTTTTTGATTTTTTGAGACAGTTTACCTACCTAGTTCAGGCTGGCCTTGAACTCATTATGTAGCCCTGGGTGGCCTTGGTCCTCCTGCCTCAGCCTCCCAAGTGCTGGGGTTAGAGACATGCACCACCGTGCTGGCTATTAGAAAAATTGTAATATGATGAAAGTAGTCACATGAAAACATCTTTAAAAATAAAGCATTTTAATACGCTCCAGTTCTTTAATTTTTTATTTTTATTAGCACATGTTTGCAGTAATGATTACCTTCACCATGGAGAGTTGGTACATACACATAACACATCTTAATTCTTTTTACTTCCCCTCTCTCTTCTCCCTCCACCCCTCCCTCCAGATCTCATTAAACTGCTAAATTGCAGGGGTGGGGATTTAGCTCAGTGGCTGGCAGGCAGGCACAGGCTGTAAGGTCCTGAGTTTGATCCCTGGTACCAAAACATAAACAAATTACTAAATTGCCCAGGCTGTACTTGAAGCTTCCATCCTTCAGCCTTAGCAATCGAGTGCTAGGATTGCAGGTATACACCACATTTATTTCAAAAGACCAATCAGTCAACAAGACATTAGAAAGCAATCATTTCAAGAACTACTTTTTATTTACACACCTCCTAGACCAGTGATGGCAAACCTTTTAGAGACCAAGTGCCCAAACTACAAACCAGAACCCATTTATTTATCGAAAAGTGCCAATACTACAATTAAACCTAAATACTGAGGTCTGGGTTTAGAAAAGAATAACTGTTATCCAATGCTTGGCTGCAGGGGCAACTTGAGTCACATACGAAAAGAGAGGGCTCTGGCACTCATGCCACAGGTTCACCGCCACTGTTCTAGAAAAAAGGTCCAAGGTTCAACAGTATATTCACTCCTTATTCAATGAATCCGTATTAGCTTAGAATATGAGGGTGCTTCACAAACATAATTTTTATACAAGGAGAAACAGTATAACCACTTTCAAAAGACAGCAAAATTAGCCCAGCATAGAGGCACACACCTGTAATCCCACCAATGAGGGAGGACGAGGCAGGAAGATCAAAAGTTTGTGTTTCACCCGGGCAACTTAGCAAGCCCTCGTCTCAAAAAATAAAAAGGGAAAAAATAAATAAATAAAATAAAAAGGGGCCAGGGATTTAGCTCAGTGGTTCCGGCGCCTGCCTTGCAAGTGCAAGATCCTGAGTTCGATCCCCAGTACCAAAAAAAAAAAAATTACTAAAAAATAAAAAGGGCTGGGGATGTAGCTGAGTTCAAAGTCCCTGGATTCAATCTCCAGTACTGAATATACATATGTATATAAAAGTTGGCTGTAGGTGTAGTTCAATGGTACAGATGCCCGGTACCAAAAAAAAAAACAGAAAACAATGGTACAGCACATGCTTGGCATCTGAGTCCCTGGGTTCAATCCCCAGTACATAGCTAAGATATAGAGCTATTAAAATATATATTTTCAATATATATATATCAGGCCAGGGATTTAGCTCAGTGGCCCTGCACCTGGCTGGCAAGTGCAAGGTCCTGAGTTCGATCCCCAGTAGCTGAAAAAAAATAATGTATATTATATATATTTAAAATTTACCACAAATACTAATTGCTATAAATACATATTAAGTTTAATATAATCTCTAATAATCTAGTTTTTATATCATTGCTTTAATAAATTGTAAGTAAAATTTTAAAACCATTTTTGCCAGGTGAAGGGAATCTGAGCTACTTGGGAGGTTGAGGCAGGAGGATCACAAACTTAAGGCCAGCTGTAGCAACTCAACCAAGAGCCTGTCTCAAAAACTAAAAAAGGAATGTGGATATATAGCTCAGTGGCAAATTGCTTGCCTAGCATGCACAAAGCCCTTTATCATCTCCCACCTACCCCCCCCAAAATTTTAAAACTCATTTAAAATGGAAATCCTTCATGTTGGCTCAAGGGCCAGCCCTGTCTAACTGCCTACTAGGTAACTAACTTAGCCTATCTATAACTGTGATTATACTTACGTTTATATTTTCAAAGCCTCTGTAGATAAGGGACATTTTCTGGTAGAAACATTTCTTATAACTGCTCTAGAAACAATGACAGCCTTCCACTTACTCTACAATCCCTATCTCCAAAATATATTTCTAGTGACCCACACCTGCAATTCCAGCACTTGGGAGGCTGAGGCAGAACGATCTCTACACAAGTTCCAGGCCAGCCCGGGCTATATGATGAGTTCAAGATCAGCCTGAACTGGCCAGGGATTTAGCTCAGTGGTTCCACCTCTTGCCTTGCAAGCTTAAGGACCCGAGTTCGATCCCTGGTACCAAAAAAAAAAAAAAAAAAACCAAAGATCAGCCTGAACTGCAAGACCTTGTCTCAAAAGAAAAAAAAAAAAGCCAAACACTGGCATATGCTTCTGTTTTTTAACACTGGGGAGACAAGTCATTCTTATCAATATATAAAATACCCCGTAATTTAGGATCACAGGCAATTTAGATTACCACTCATTTAAATGCAGAACCTGAAGCAACCTCCAGTGACAAGAGCTACAGTGCTCAGTATCACTTTACATGTTACAAACAGAGGCTTCATCTTACAAACAATGAACGCTGGCAGGGTTCTTTATCCAACAGACCCACAAATTATCATTTCTGTAAGGGCATTAGTATATAAAGCAACATAACCAGTAAATTCACAAGAGCCTTTCAACATGTTAACAACATTTTTTTAAAGACTATATAAAGAAAACAATTATTTCCACATTTCACCTTTTTTGTTCATTTTCCTGCACAGTGTATCCTACAGGAGTGTGTTTCAAATGAAAATCTTTAGTCCAAAAACGAAAGATATTCTAGAAAATGATACTAGTCATTGCCTCCAAGAGGAACTGGAGGGTTTGAAAGGAAGAGACTCATTTTTCAATGTTTTTGTTCCTTTTCCATTGGATATCATATGCAGAACCTATTCTACATACCCAAACAGTAATTTTTTATTCAAAAAAAAATTTTGAGAAGGGTCTCACTATGCAATTCAGTCTGGTTTTGAACTATAAGTAGCTCAGGCTGGCTTGAACTCCCTGCCATGCTCCTGCCTCAGCCTCCGGAGTGCTTGGATTACAGGCATGCGCCACCATGCCCGGTTTAGCGATTTGAAATTTTTTTAAAAACAGTTCACAAACTTACAGGCTTCCATTAACATTTCAGTTTATGCAGCATTCTCTGAAGATCTATGATTTCCTCCACCCTCTCCCCAGTCATCTTTTAAACAACCTGCCGCAACAAATACTGAAGCTTTCTTGCAGCCAGATGAGTTAGTTGGATCTGAGGGCAACCATTTAAATAAAGGAGATAAAGCAGTCTTACCCAACACTACCACTCTCACTCATCTCATTCAACTCTAGCTAAAACCACTGCAGCAAGACAGCTGGTACTCGCCTTCCTGTTTCTTTACGGTACAAGCTTAATAACAAAAACAGGTTGGCTTTGAAGCGCTTGCTCAAGAACTGTAAAAAGGAAGTCTTCGCATTTGGGAGGAAAAAGTTTCAACTTTGAGAGAATCTCCTACCTTTCGTGTCATTCCCTGTGAATCCTGAACCACTTCTGCTAGTGAGATTTCGAGATGCTCTATGCCTCTCATAACTGCTCTTTGGGTTCAATTCTCCACCCTCGATGCTCTCAAACTACCTAGGAAGCAACTAAGCCTCCTCCTCCAGGGACTCATGGCTTGTTTTTCTTAAGGCATATGCAAATCATTTAAATGATTACAAATTGAATCAATTAACGAAATAAGACTGGCGATCAGAAAGACAAAAACTAATAGTAAACAGTAAAAAAATCAACACGGCCAAACCCCATATTCAATCCCCTAACTTCTTACTTGCCACTGCCCAGCCCTCACACCAGTAATAGTAAGATGCCTTTTGACTGAGAAAACTGCTGAGAACCTACCCGAACCCAAAATGGAAATTGCACAGATCATTCGTGTTAAAGAGTCCTGTTTAAATGCCCGGGTGAAGGAGAAGACCCAGCAGCATCCAGCCCGAGTCAGCGTGCGGCGGGCGGGCGGTCGTCCGCCGACTCTGCCCCGTCCTTCCGGGGACCTGAGGAGGAGCCTGGCAGCGGCGGAGGGGCCGCGGGGAGCCGCCAAGAGTAGCCCCCAGGGCTGGGGAACGCAGGCGGGAAACAAAACTTTAAAGACCCGAAGGCAAAGCGGGCCCCTGCAGGCCCCCCAAACTCCTCGGGTGACCTCTCCGCGCGGGGACTCTCCCCCTGGACGCCAGAGCCCGTTGCCACCAACCCCAGGCTGCCTGCCCCCGGCCGCGGGCTGCCCACAGGCTGAGGGGAAGGGGCTTGGCCCGGACACCCCGAAACTACCTCAGCGCGCCCCCCACCCGGCGCGCCCCGCAGCGCCTCTCCAGAGCCGTAGCCACCGGCTCGCGGCAGCCCCGGCGCCTCGCCCTCTTCCCTCCGCCGCGCACTCCAACCCCTCGCCCGCCGCCGCCGCCGCCGCCGCCTCCTTTATCTTCACTCACCGCCCGCCGCCATTTTCCTCACAGCTCAGCTTTAAATCGGAAACTCGCAGCTCAGCCTGCAGCCGCCGGCACCACCGACTCAGCCGCGGTCGCGGCCGTCGCTGTGAGGGGCTGAGGCGGCACCGCGGAAGCCAAGGCGCGGGGGCCGCTGGGATATGTAGTCCCGCGGCCACGCCCAGCACTACCGGTCCCAGGGGGCCTTGCGCGGCGGGGCAAGTGTTCCAGCACAGCGGCCGAGCTTCCGCGGCTGATGTCGTGGCCACGTGGGACCCGCGGGCGGTTCTCGCCCTCACCATCTGGGCGCAGTTGTGAGGTCCAAAGAGCTGGAATGCAATCCTCGCCCTGCCCTTAATTTTTTTCATGCTTGCCTTCATCTGGTAATATGTAACATTCGTGGAGTGTTTTGTATGCCAAGCACAGATGCTCCCAACAAGCACCCTTTAAGGACCATGATTATCGTTGTCATTTTTCAGATGAGAAAACTGAGGAACGAGGTCACAAGCCCTGAAACTGGTCCTTAGGTGCTAAGGCACTGGGTGAAAGACTGTTGGGCACCCGTACATTCAGTCTTGAATATCATCCCTCGAAATATTTGTGATTTACAACTGGGAACAACTTGCTTTACAAGGGAGAGGTTTGGCAGACAGCACCTTAACCGGGTGATGATCGAATTTAGGGTCACTGATAATAAATCAAACTGTCTTCTGTTTCCCGATAGGAAGCAACAGAGAAAGCATAATGCTACCTCTATAGTGTTCGTACCCAAAAAATAAAAATTTTTTAAAAAGCAAAAGCTAACCTGAATATAACCATACAAAGCCAGAATATGGGACATCATCCAAAACAAAACTAGCCTGGACTCTTTAAAAATATCAAAGCATAAAATAGATGAAAACCAAATGCAATAATGAGATTTGGTTAAACCCAGAACATCTTTTAATGTAAAAAGAATTTGGAGAGAAATTTGTTGTTGTTTTGGTGGGAGGGATTTTTTAATGGACTGTATATGTATTAGGTAATAATATTGAAATCGACCTGGCATGGTGGCATAGGCCTGTAATTGCCGCTCTTGAAAGCCTGAGGCAGGAGGCTCTTTCAAGTCCAGCCTGGGCTACATAGTGAATTCAAGGCCAGCTTGCGCAACATAACGTGACCCTGCCTCAAAAAAAAAAAAATTAGAGCTGGCCATGGGAGGCTGAGGCAGGAGGCTCACTGCCAGTTCAAGGCCAGCCTAGGCTATATAATGAGTTCATGGCCAACCTGAACTGCATAGCTAGATCCTGCCTCGAAAAAAACAAACAACAACAACAACAATAATAATACTGGATCAATATGAAATGTGTTGAGTGCAAATGAAATAAAATAATCTGAGGGGACGGGGATTTAGTTCAGTGGTTTCGCCGCCTGCTGCGCAAGCGCAAGGACCCAAGTTTGATCTCCGGTACCAAATAAAATAAAATAAAATAATCTGAGTTGAGCATGGTGACTCCTGTAATCCCAGCTACTCATAAACCTGAAGAATGAGGATGGCAAGTTTGAGGCCAGCTTGGGAAATTTAGTGAGACTCAAAAAATAAAAAAGGCTGAAAATGGGCCAGGGATTTAGCCCAGTGGTTCTGCCGCCTGCCTTGCAAGCACAAGGACACGAGTTTGATCCCCAGTACTAAAAAAAAAAGGCTGAAAATCTAATTCCATGGTAGAGCACTTGCCCAGTATGCATGAGGCTCTGCATTTAATCCAAGTGATAGAGCAAATCCAGTACTGTAAAAAAATAAAATAAAGTTGGGCCGGGGATTTAGCTCAGTGGTTCCACTGCCTGCCTCGAAACCGCAAGGACATGAGTTTGATCCCCAGTACCAAAAAATAAAAAATAAGAAAAAAGATAAAGCAACTTGACACTAGCTCCATCATCACCACCCTTACCTGGACTATTCAGTCCTCTGCTCGCTGTTCTCCGCCTCTGACCTTCCCCACCAGGTTTGTTCTCCATAACAAGGACAGAAATGTCCTGGTAAAGAGCAAATCAGTTTATGTCTCTCCCCAAGGAACCTGTTTCTCACTTCCCTTCCTCCTTTCAACTCATCAACCTTGCTGAGCATAGTACTTATGATCCCAGCACTCAGGAGGCTGAGGCAGGAGGGTTGCTGTGAGTTTGAGGCCAGCCTGGGGTACATAGTGAAACCCTATCTCAAAAAAACAAGCAAGCTGGGGATGTAGCTCAGTGGCACCGTGCCTGCCTGGCAAGCTCAAGGTCCTGCCTGACAAGCTCAAGGTCCTGAATTCAATCCCTGGTACAAAAAAAACCCAAGCAAAGAAAAACCTCAACCACTTCTCTTCCTCTCAGTACAGTAGCCCAGATCCCCTGGCCCTTTTGGTCTAACAGGCTTTGCGCACCCCAACTTCAGAGTCTTTGCACTTGCTGTTTCCTTTGCCTGAAACCACTTTTTTTTTTCCTTTTTTCCTTGGTACCTGGGATCAAACTCAGGACCCTGCGCTTTCGAGGCAGGCACGGCACCAGTGAGCTAAATCCCAAGCCCACCTAAAACCACCTTTGCTTTTCAGAAAATCCAAATAGCCCACTCCCTCATCTCCCCATGGTCAGTGTCTAAATCTCACTTCCTCAGTGAACTTTCCCTAGCTGCTCTCTTCTAAGCTCTTGCCTACTCAGACCCCAGCTTTCCTACCCTTCTTTCCTGCTTCTTTCTTCTTCAAATGTAACTGTAATCATTGGAGACTCTTTTTCTCTTTTTTGGTGCTGGGGAATGAACTCCGGACCTCAAGCTTGACAGGCACGTGCTGTGCCTCTGAGCTACATCCCTGCCCCTTTCTTTTCCTTTTCTTTCTTTCTTTTTTTTTTTTTTTTCAGTACTAAGAATTGAATTAATGGACTTGCACAAACTACGCAAGTGCTCTACCACAGATCCACAGCCCAAGAACTTTCTTCTTCTTCTTTTTCCTTCTTTTTTTTTTTTTTCTTTTTTGAGACAGGATCTCACTCTGTAGTTCAGTCTGGCTTTGTACTCACTTTGTAGCCCAAGGTGGCCTCGAACTTGCAGTGATCCTTATACCTCGGCCTCCCGAGGGCTGGGATTATAGGCATGCACTGCTATGCCCAGCTGGAACTGAAAGCGTAGCTTCAAAGCAGACCATGGCAGCACAAGCCTGTAGTCCCAGCACTTGGGAGGCTGAGGCAGGAGAATCTCATGAGTTCAAGAACAAACCTGGGCTAATAGTGAATTCAAGGCCAGCCTAAACTATGTAGTGAGACTTTGTCTCAAAAAGACATATAATAATAATAATAATAATAATAATAATAATTTTTAAAACACTACTACCCAGAACTCATAGACATTTTACTTTCTAGACAGAAGTTCTTTAGAACTAGACATAGTTCATGTAATCCTTGTAATAACACTAAGAGAAAGCGCTTTTATTATCTCCTTTTTACAGGTGAAAAAAATAGAGGCATTGAACAAATTAATAACTTCCCCAAGGGTACAAACTCAGGCCTACACATTCATGTTCTTTTAGGCTGGCCTAGAACTCAAGGCAATCCTCTTGCCTCAGCCTCCTGAGCACTAGGATTACAGGCATGTGCCACCATGCCTGGCTTCAGTTCTTAACTATTATGCTATACTTCCTTTCCACAGACACATAAACAACAGACTTTTAACTGTCTCATATAACATTCCTAGAGGTAGTTAGTTCAGTGTATGTTCAAAGGCTATTAAAATCGTTCCACTGTGCCATCTTCAGCAAACTGCCTTTCTATCCTTCGCCTCCTGCCTCATGGGCACTAGATGGCTGCCACAGCTAAGGCATTACATCAACTAAAAATCAAGTTCAAATGCAGAAAAAGCAGAGAAATGAATAAGTGAAAAAGCGTCAAGAGAAATGCTGTATCTTTCTCTTTTTTTTTTTTTTTTTTTTTGGTTTTTTTGAGACACAGTCTCACTGTGTAGTTCAGACTGACCTTGAACTCAGTATGTAGCCCAGGCTGCCCTCAAACTCATGGCAATTCTCCTGCCTCAGCCTCCCAAATGCTGGGATTACAAACATGCATCATCAGGCAAAGTCCCCTTTTTTTTCCAGATATAAAACACTTTTCCCAATTCTTCCTTTCGCCAGTGCTAAGGAAATGTTCACGTACTTCTTATTACAGGGGAGAACGGAGGCCCCTGGCCATCCCTAGATACAAGGGAATCTGGGAAGTCACTTGAATGCTATTCCAGCCTTGGGCTTAAATTTAAATGAATGGATGAGTGAGTGCCCTCCTCCTTGTCTAGCCTAAGGGCTCTGCTTCTCAGCTGGCTGCTCCCACTGTCCTCCATACTTTCTTCTTTTATCTACTAACAATATAGTCTAGAGGTTAAGATTGTGAGTTTAGCTGAGTATGGTGGCCCATGCCTATAATCCCAGCACTTGGGAGGCTGAGCAGGAGGATATTAATGAGTTCAAAGGCAGCCTGGACTACATAGCAAGTTCAAGGACACCCTGAACTGCCTAGTGAGAGCCTGTCTCAGAAAAAAAAAAAAGAACATGGGCTTTGGTGCTCACTGTCTAACTTGCTAATCCTGTTCTGCTACCTACAAAGCTGTGTGATAATGGATCATTTTTTTGTACTTTTTGTGCCTCCATTTCCTAAAATGAGAACCACAATCATAAAACTAACAGCAACAACAATAATATCTATATTATAGGGTACAATAAGGATCAAATGCCTGTAACCTCAGCACTTGGAAGGCTGAGGCAGGAGGATTGCAACGAGTTTCGGGTTCAAAGCCAGCTTTAACTACAGAGTGAGATTGTCTCAAAAGAAAAAATAATAAGGATCAAATATAATAATATAGCAAAAGCCCTAAGACTAATGTCAGGCACAAAGTATACTTTCAATCGATGTTAATAACGATTTCATGTGGTGGTTCCAAACTTGGGGTTTGTAGGGTTAATAAGCCAAGGGCAGTAACAGCTTCCTCCTTTTTCCTCCTATTTTACCTCATTATGGTTATTACAGTCTGAAATTTCCCTGCAAGTGAAAATAGATTGCTTGAGTAAATGCCTGAACCCTGTACCTGAGTAAAACTCTATTTGGAAATAACCGAATCTGTGAGCTGGCACTAGGCAGGCTCCACCTCCCAGCTGCG